CAAACCCTGAGCAGTGAGTTGACAGTCTGCCGGATTTTACAATCTACAATCACCTATTGTACAAAGAAACTGCCATGCTATTTATTTACTCAGCTTCTCATGTGTGTGTTTATCAAAGTAATGCCTATACTAGTGAAAAGTAATCATTTCACATGATTACTTTCTAACACCTGCTCTCCTGACAATAAAAAAGCAAGGGACGGGGCCTCCCTGGTGGCACAGTAGGCTGAGCGCCGCACTGTGAAGCTGTCCGCAGCCTCTGCAGTGCCGGTTCGATCCCGGCTAGCGAGCAAGAATCCCACATGGTGCGGCAGACCTCTCCTGTCTCGCCCGCTGCTCCCCTCAGCAGTGTATTTCGTCAATCTGCCTGTTCTGCTCCCCGCTCTGTCTCTGGTGAATCCTCTCACCCTCCCGCGCATCTGGCCTGTACCCCAGTTATTGTATAAATAAATAAATCTTGGGGGAAAAAAAGCGAGGGACCTATCAATGTGGAGTTTTCTGACAAAATAACAGATTTTGAAGGTTTGGGTTTTTTTTTTTTACAAAACTGTAAAAAATAGACTTAAAGGTAAAACATCTTTTAAAATACAAATGTTTTAAAATAATACTGCCAACAAATAATACTGTAGGCATGAGGGGGGGAAAACAATGCTTTCCTTATCTTTTTTCACTCCCAGATGCAAGAACTTTCAATTCATAACACTGCTTGCTGTAGGAGTTCCTGTTCCTAAGTAGCTTACTCATACCCATATTTCCTTATTTATCAATTTTATGTGTTATCTACTGAAGTTCCGAGTGGAAGATAATAGACATTCTTCCAGAAATTGCCCCTACCTTTGCCCTAGTCAATGTAAATGTGTATATACACATATATATCACACTTAGAAAACTTACAGAGAAACAGACTGTAGAGAGCAAGATTTATCGTATTCTAGCTATATTCCCCCAATTGCTTACTTTTACCTTTCCTAGAGCAAGTGACTGCTTCATTCCCTGCCCCCCACCCCCGCAATTTGCTTAGTTTCTATATATCAACCTTAATTCTTCCTAAACCCAGTAAAATAATTTCTTCTTGCTACAGTTTTCCATATGCTTAAAAGCACCAGGTGCCCTGCCCTGTCAATTTCTGCTCTTTCCGGGTGACCTCTCCCCTAAGACTCCCCGAACTCACACTCCAGTCCTGCCAGCTGGTCTCCAGGTCTCTTCATGGGGCTCCCAGGGACACCCCATCATCATGGTCATCCTTGCAGTTCCTTCCCTGCTCTCCAGTGGTAAAATTTAGCAGTCTGTCATAAGCCTTAAACTGACTGATGGCCTGGCTGGGTATTGCGCTCAAGGTAGTTAAAACCTTTACCACTAGACTTTTAAGGTTATATTTCATTATATCTAGCTTCCAAATCTAATCATATTCTAATTCCGGCTCTTTTATGTATTCTATGTTCTTTTTCAGGATTTCTTTAAGATTATCCCTCTAATACTGGCTAATTTTTGTGTAAGGTTTTTTATAGCCCTTAAATTGGACATCTAGTGGGCCTTTTAAACATAAAATATACCTTTTCCAGCTAACTGAAATTATATTTCATTGTTGTTGTGTTGTTGTTTTTTAACAATTTCCTTTGCTTCTTTTTCTGGTCTTTCAAATTTTGTAAATTTTCTGTTTATTGGATATTGGACCTTCTGGAGTTCCTTTTCTTCCCCACTCTAATTCTTTTTATTTTAGGTACCAGAAGAATTTTTTGAATTTCATTTTTCAACCAGACTACTTAATTTTTTCAAATTGATTCAGGATAAATTTTGAAGAGATTATGTGTCCTCTATTTCTTCATTTATAAAAGTTCTATTCTTGTTTCACAACTGCAATATTCTCTCCCATCCCTGCTAAGAGCAAACTAATTTTGAAAGTTTTATTTTTATATTCAGAGTTTATATTTTTCCCAGACTTGATTCTCTTCTGCATATTGCAATCACTGCCATTGTCAGGTGGAAGGCTTGTGCAGCTCTGCTATCACTGGCCAGTCCTTCATCTTGACGACTGAAGGGCTGAAAAGGAGACCGAAGCTCTGTGTTCTGAAGGCAGGGCATGAGTACTGAACAGACTTTCCAGTAGGAGACTAGGTAAGTATCCAATCAGTTTACTTGGTTTATAGGAGGAAAGTATAAATCACACTCTCTGACCACCTGTTTAGTCTCTGAGTTCCTATTTCCAGAGAAATTTGTTGCTTTACATAGTCTGTCTGCCATCCAAACACAGAATCTAAAATTGCCACTTTGTCAATTAACCAGCCATTATTACAGACAGTGGGCAGACATATAACCTATCCTCAGCCAATGAGATAGGAACCTGTTGGACTCTGAACTGAAAAGCAGAATCAGGGTCAATAGCAGTGACTGCGGCGCAGCCCAGGGCCCTGCTGACAGTGCAAAGCTAAGCATCAGTGCTCTGGGCAGCCAGCCACCGCTGATCCCGCTTTCCTGTGTGACTGCTCTCTTAGCCACTTGAACCACCCTTGGTTTTGCCCATTTTCTAGACGTAGTCCCACAGGCTTCCCAGTGATTCAAGTCACTAAGTATTATTTCCATAAATTCCTTTCCTGCTTAAATAAGACAGAGGATGTTTTTCTGTATAGTGAGAACCCACAGATGCCTGTATTCATAGATCATTTTTAGAATATGCTTCAGTTTCTCTAGAGAAGAGCAGAAGAGCAGTTCCATTTCCTGCCTGGCTTCCAGTCTTCTGGGAAGCTACTTCAGCAAAGAATGTTTCAAAATAATTCCTCCCTGATTCCAGAGCCTTGGGGCCTCCAACTCTGGGGTTGTGATGGGTGAAATGCATTCACATTCAATTTTATCCATACTGAAAAATGAGTTTAAGATATTTTTTTTTTCTCTCTCTCTCCCCCCACCCATGCCCCAAAGCCCCCACCCCTGAGGAAAACTGTTAATAATTCCAGACATGCTCCTAAATTTCCTCTTCTTTATCTCTCTATCTTTCTATATTCCTTTAATAACAGTGTCCTCAGGCAGGGGAGGGGAAGCAGCAGAGCGCTACATTCAATCTGACAAGGTTAACTGGGCACTAAAATGTTATTAGTCCAAACTGAAAACTTCCAATTATGAAATACTACAAACATGTAAAAACTGAGACGATACCTAGTATCCATCACCCAGATTTCGTAACAGTAAACTGTCTGCCAAATTTGCTTCAGGTCACATAGAAATACAACATGACAGAGCTAAAATACAAGGTGCGATCCCATTCTCTCAGCCTCTCCAGAGGAATTTCACCCCTGAAGGTGCAATGCACCCTTCCAGTTAGTACTCTGGATGTTTACGAGATCTAAGTTGATAACATCATTTAGAACACATCCTGTTACAGCTTTGTTTTTCACACAAAATTGTTTTTGAGATTTGGACATGTTGATGCAGAGTCCTTATAATTATGTCTGTGTGTTTTCCATTTTTTGTATAAATATGAGTTTATGTATTTATGAGTTTGGTGATTCAAATCTAGGTTGTTTCCAACTTTTTTGCTTTTATAGACAATGAGATAAGGGTCATGCTGCTCACGTGTTATTTGGGAACGGTCATGAGAGTTTGCCTAGAGGCTTCCAAAACCGGGAGCTGCTCAGTCTCAAAGCGGAGCACCTTTCACTCTAACTAGAGAATATGTTACAATCCGAAAGTAAATTAGACAACATTGTTTCCTGCCAGGTCTTTGTCTTTGAATTATTACCAGTGTGATGGACTAAAATATCCTCTTTTGTTACTTTCACTGGTATTTTCCTGAATTCAACTAAAATGAGAATTTTATTTCCTTTAAAATTCTTATCTATTTATATTTTGCCTGTTTTTCTACTAAATTTTTGTCTTCTTTGCTATTAACTCCTAGGATTTCTTTATATACTATGGATATTAATCCTTCATTAAACATGTGTCTGGATGTATTCTCATGTTCTATGGCTCTACCTTTACCTTTTTTAAGGTCCATTTTCTTATACATATACATTTAAATTTTTTAACAGTGAAATTTATCATTCTTCTTTATAGTTTGGGTTTTTTCTATCTTGTTCAAAAAAATTCTTCCAATCTCTAATAACATAAAGATGTTTTCCTGTATTTTTGTTTAAAAATTTAAGTCTCTCTTTAAATGTTTCTAATTAATCTAAAATTTATTTATAGGAATATAATTTAATTTTTACCACCCTGTCCACATTATTTTTGAATGTAAGAATTTATAGCTTTAAAACCATGGTGCAGGTTTTCAGATTAAAAAAAAAAACTAAGTGTGAAATGAAAAGCAAATTAATTCAGCTTACTGAAAGAACCTTAGTTTATAATAAAAGCAAATTAAAATCCAACATGTCATTTTCAAGATGCATAAACAAGAAAAGATAGAGAAAATTTTGAACAAAATTACAGTAAATATACACACAGAGGCAATATTATAGGAACCAACTTTAGAGGAAAATATTAAGGTAGGTTTTATATGACAAAAAGAATAATAAAATAGCAGCATTAGGTCAAGTAGTAAGAAGTGACATCAAGGCAAAAGTTGAGACATGAAAGGAGAAACTGACAAAAATAATCACATTTCATTATTAACTACAAATATTTACTGTGTGTCTACTCTATATGAGTTATTATTCCTGGTACTCAAGCTACACCACTGAAAATAAGTGACCTAATTACTCACTTTTAAAAGTGACCAAATTTTTGCTAGAATTTCCTTATAGCAAAGATACAGATCAAACATAAATCAAAGTATATCTTACATTCTGCAAAGTGTTATGAAGAACAAAGCAGGAAAGGGGTGGAAGAGTGCTGGAAATCTCAATTCTACAAGGTAGTCAGGGAAGTCATGTGCTCAGAAGTCGACATTTCTGTCAAGAGCAGAAGGAAGCAAGGGAGCAAGGCCACCACAGCACCAGATGGGCCCAGTGCAGAGTCACAAGAATAACAGAAAAAAAAGTATGACATCAGTGAAACAAAGTTATACTGACCTCTGTGCCTTAAAATGCATTCAACTTTCTATTCAGCTGTTCAGTCTGTATAAAAAACAGAGCAAGCATTAAGTACTTAGAGAAGCTAAAATTTAATTACTTTATTCTTGAATCAAAGGTTAATTTTTAAGAGTACCTAATAAAATTAAAATAACACCTACATCTAAGAACAAGCTGAAACACAAAGAGATTATTTAGAATTTTTGAAAAATGTAAAGCAAAATTTCTAACCTATTAGACTAAAGCCAAAATAATATACTAAGATGAATTTATAACTTTTAATATAAACAATAAACTGAGAATTCAACTCAGAAAAGAACAGGAAAATGTAATAAAGAAAAAGTAAAATTTAAACTATAAACAACCAATAAATGATAGAATAAAGTACAGTTCTTTGACAAAAACAATTTTTTTTTTTAAATTTACTTTTGTGTAGAAGGATGGGGTATAGTCCAGAGGTACAGGGGGTGAGAGGATTCACCAGACACAGAGTGGAGAGTAGAACAGGCCAATCTACTGAGATACACTGCTGAAGAGAGCAGTGGGTAAGACAGTGGGTCTGCTGTGCCATATGTGGGTCAGCTCCCTGGCTGGGAATCAAACTCAGGCCCTAGTGGTTATAGTACTGAGACTTAACCCCTAGGCCACCAGTGAGGCTCTGGTACTTATTTTAAACAACAAAAAACCTATTAATATTAGAGACTGGATAACTCATCATGACCCAAAATGAAATGACATAATTGTATTAGGGAAAAAATGGAACCCCATCATTATTCTGATATCCTGGATTTACTTGATAGCTACTGTATTCACAGCAGCATCCCCAGGGTCTGAAACATCATTAGATCAAGATGAATACTTTATGTATGATGAATAAGATGTATGATTATGTACATGAAACATTTGCCCAAATTGTTCAGAAAAATTAAAAAAAAGGTGGTCCTTGAGAGGTGAAAGATAATGCTAACACATGATCCACACTAAGAATGTATCTTTTCAGGGCCTCCCTGGTGGTGCAAGGGGTTAAGATGCAACCTATGAAGCTATCTGCAGCCACTGCAGCACGAGTTCAATCCCCCGCCAGGGAGCTACCCACATGGCGCAGCAGACCTCTCCTGACTCGCCCGCTGCTCCCCTCAGCAGTGTGTTTCAGTCAGTCTGCCTGTTCTGTTTCCCGCTCTGTCTCTGGTGAATCCTCTTAACCCCCACACCTCTGGTCTGTGCCCTGGTTCTTGAATGCATAAATAAATCTTTACAAAAAAAAGAATGTATCTTTTCACAATGAAAAATTCATTTTGTTATTGAGCAAAGTAACAAACAAAAAGAATAGGAAGAGGAGACTCACTAGAAAGAAAATGCTTCACTTTACAACCATAAAACAAATTCTTTAGTACAGTGTTATTGTAATACAAGCAGCTAAGTAGTGCAAGTCATTAAAATGTGAGAATTCTAAGGAAAATAAAGAACAACATTAAAAATTAATCTACACAAAAAAAATCTAAGTCACAGCACTATGAACTGCAATGTGAAATGGAAATAAACTAAAAGTGTAACTAGAAAAGAGTTAAGTAAATTATTATGCCAAAGCAATTTTTTCAATGGTATAATAATAATAATACATGGGAAACATTTTATGGTTCACTAAGTTTCAAAAAAGTGTATGCTTACAAAAAAGAGTATGTGTATATGTGCATATACATATAATCACTGTCCATGAAATTTTGAAAATAATTTAGCCTCAAAATTTTAATCATAACATAAAAAATAACTTAGACATCTACTTAAAAGAACTTTTATAAAGTACTAATTTTTCAAATAGTTTTCCAAGTCAAATTTTAGAATCTTATGACTAAAGTTCCATTTTTTCATAATAATATTATGAAGACTCTAAAACACAGCATTTACTGTCCTAATAGCTGAGTCATCCAGGAAAATGACAGGCTGACTCTATAAGAATATCTGAAATAAAATTTTGAAAAAAAATCTATAATTTGTTCCAGGAAATCAGAGTCGAGGGAGCTGAAAATGTGCAGAGCTTCTCAACTTAGCTGTTACACATTGTCCTTATTTTAGCAGGTGTGGAAGATGCTATCCATTACCTACCCTTTTCTATCCCTCCTAATTCTTCCATAACAATAGATTCTCGATTTGTTCAAGCATCTGTGGAGAACCCTGGCAGGCTTCCTTTATCCTATTTATCCCTTAACCCAGGGGAGAGATCAGGAGTTTTCTAAATCAGTCATGAAACCTCATGCCCCTTAGCCAGTGACTAATCTAGGCTTACTACCCAATTTGGTTGTGACCAATGAGATATAAGCAGATGCCTGCAGGATGCAACATCCTGGCAAACTACAGCTTTCCTGATAAAACAGACTCAGCTAGCAAGCCCTTTGTCTAGCACATTCTGCTTCCCCCTTCTTCCTGGAGTACAGGAAGCCTGGAAGAGCAATAGGCATCCTACATTCATAAGGCCAGCCTGAGGAAAGACACCAGTGGAATGAAGAAAAAGATCCAAAGTAGTAAGAAGGGGGTGGGGAGATAAGGTGATTTTTTGTCGTTCAATGAACAGCTCAGTCTCATATCAGAAACTTTTTATTGTTTAATGAACAGCTCAGTCCCAAATCTCTGCATAGGAGAGAGGGGTGCACACAACCTGATGTGGAAACAGCAGCATCTCATCTGAGAAAAACAGGACTCAGGTAAGCAGAGAGCCACAGGCAAAACTGGGAAAACAGGTAAACACCAGCAATGGCAAGCCCTATGTTGCTAGACAGCAATCAAGGAACAAGAGCTGGAGGTGAAACACCCACCATCCCTGCCTTTAGTGGTGCCTGAGACCACCAAACAGTCTTATCTAAGGGGGTGACTGTCATCCTACGAGTATGGGCAGCTGAACTCGAGCTTATGGGGAAAGGCTGGTGAGTTGCACTTGCTGTGAGTGGGAAAAGGTCTACCTGTGACCCACATCTACCAGTCTTCTTTCTACCACTGGCTTCTCTGTTTACAGAAAACATCACATCTACCTGTGGCCTTGCTGGGATAACATTTATCTATGACATCTGCTGCTTCAAGTCAGAGTTCAAATCACCTAGTCCCTGGTGCAGAAACTTGCATCTCACCTTGGAAGGCTCTGTAAATGATAGGCACTGGGAATAGCCCTCCACTGCGCTCCCTCTCCACAACAGCCCCTGCCAGTGCCACAGCCTGAGAAAGGGTCAAGAGGGCTGCCAGGGAGACAACTTTACAGACAGCACCTCCAGACCCTAAGAACACACGGCCCTCATCCACCCATGCTTGCAACTGGAACTGCAGCCTGTCTATAGTCCAAATGCACAGATCTTTGCCTCTGCCTGTATACCTGGGAAAAACTACTGGTTGCAGAACCTGCAAACTGTAGTTGAACCGCAGCTGAGGGGTCAGTGTTAGCCTGAAACTGTTGGGAAGTTCTGACTGAGGAGGAACTTACCTAAGGGAAGGAGTCATTGCAGACCTCCTCCCTATGCCCAGCTGATGCCTCTGCAGCCCCTCAGTAGTCTAACTCTTGCTACTCTCTACCAAAACCTCTTGGCTCGCTCCTGACCTGGTCCCTACCCTGTTCCAGCATTGGAGTTCCATTCTTCTAAACCAGTGTACAAACATCAGTGTTTTAAGCAAAAACATATACCTCAGGGTCCTGGGCAAACAATCTACGAGTATTTCCTGCAACCTGTAATCTTACTATAAGGCCAACATACCAAAGTAAGAAATGGTTTAGCTTAACCCTTTGAAATTAAAAATGAAAAGCCAGGAATTTACCACAAAAGATGGAACAATAAAAACCTTGCAAAACCCAAACTGAACAGAAATAGGTAACTTACCTGAAATAGAGTTTAAAGCAAAAATCCAAACTATGCATACTGATATAAGAAAAAAATCAATGAACAAAATGAGAATTACAGAAAGGACAGAGAAAACAGGAGGAAGCTCTAAGTGTAAATATCAGAAATAGAATATAGAATCTTAGAATGAACAGAAAAATAGAGGAAGTGAGTTTGAAGATAAAGTAATGTAAACACACAAATAGACTAGCAAAAAGAAAACAAAAAGAGCAAAAATATTGCAAGAGCCATATTGGACAATATCAAGAGAAACGCTATCTGCATCATAGGTGTCCCATACGGAAGCAAGAGTGAGAAAGGGGGAGAAACCTTATTTAACAAAATAATGGCAAAGAAGCTGACTAACAAGAAAGTTAGGCCTAAAATCCAAGAGACCTAAAATTTTCTAAAAAAATTAATTCAAACAGACACATGCCAAGACATATTATAATTATAAACTGTTAAAAATTAATGATAAGGAAATAACACTAAAAGTGTCCAGAGGAAAAAATGACTCATTTATATGGGAATCACTATAAGATTACCTGTAGATTTCTTGGGGGAAACTTTGCGATCAGAAGGGAATAGCATGATATATTTAAAGTGCTAAAAGAGGGCCTCCCTGGTGGCGCAGCGGTTGAGCGCTGGGTTGCGAAGATGCCCGTGGCCTCTGCGGCGCCGGTTCGATCCCCGGCTGCTCCCTGGCCACCAGAGGAGGGTCCCACATGGCGCGCAGACCTCTCCTGCTGCCCGCTGCTCCCCTCAGCAGTGTACTTCGGTCCTTCTGCCTGCTCTGCTCCCTGCTCTGGCTCTGGTGAATTCTCTGACCCTCCCGCACTTCTGACTGTACCCAGTGCATGTATAAACAAACAAACAAACAAACAAATAAATAAACATGCCTCTATTAAAAAAAAAATAAAGTGCTAAAAGAAAAGGATTTCCAGATGACAATACAATTGACTTAGACACACTATCAGTCAGAATTAAAGGAGGAATAAAGAGCTTTACAAATAAGAACTCATCACCACTAAACTGGTCTTGCAAGAAAATTAAAGGGACTCAAAATGAAACGAAATTTTATCTAGAAGTGGTAAGACTCAAAAGCATACAGTTTCAAGGGGAAGGAGAGTGAAAACATGGGGTATTGGAACAAGTTTGAGATTAACTTGCTCAGTAGGCTACAAATAT